AGCCGGCGTGCGGTCGACCGCGGGGTCGTGCGTGGGGGTGGGGGTAAAACACACCAGAGGGGAGAGTGGGCAAGAAATCGAGGGGCCAGCGCTGCAGCGAGGGCAGAGGCCCGGCCCTGCCGACCCCTGCCCGGCCCCCTGCCTGCGCTGCCCGTGGTCAGCGCTCACACCGGGGCCGGGGGAGGGAAACGGCTCCAGTGGCTTTCTGGTACCGGAAAGGCTGTGGAAGTTACATGTTACGTGCCCAATATTACTCGTTCCGGGGCAAAACGCAAAGCCATCAAGCCTGGATGTATTTTGAGGACAAGTCACTGTGCCCTAGTCCCTTCAGCAGGTGTAATTTTTTTTTTTTAATTGCTGTTATTATTCCTACTAATATTATTTCTCTTCTTCGCTCCTCTCTAGGATGTTTCTGGTTGATGCACCTCATGGGCTGCAGTCCCAGACCTGCCTGTGCATGGGAAATCAGGTAGTATCGTCCTCGCAGACCTCTTGAGGGTCTCTGCATGGACCATCCACTTTTGCAGACCCTCCTTTGAGGGGAAATAAATTTTCTTCAAAAAGGAGTTTGATAGGAAGGAAGCCTCGTGAATGAGCTGCAAGTGTCCCTCCCAGAGGTCTCGTGGGAGCGGGGAGGGGATGGGATGGGATATCTGAGCGCTCATGCCCTGGCAGGCACCGAAAACGTGCATGAGTGATGGTTCGCATGAAACCCTCCCTGGCAAAATGGCATCCTTGGAGGTTGCGCTTCAGGAGACCCAGGGGATCCCAGCTACGACTCTCGGTCCCACGGGAAACCGGCTTTCCTCAGTTCTGCTGCTCCAAACCCCTCGCTGCACCAGCACATCCCCACCTCCCCGCCTGCAGGGTCAGCTCACGCACTCGGGGTGCCCGCACAGGGCTAGACCCCATCCCGCCTGGGCCCGACGAGCACATTCACAGTACAAATTGCAGCGCCAGGCCGGTTTGGGGTGAGGCGTGCACGAAGGCGCCGTGGGTGGGAGCAGCGTTCCCCGTGGATGAGCTCCAGCTGCTTCCGGCCTCTTCTCCCTCGTGCTGGATAATTTTGCTGTGCCGAGTGTGTAATTATCGCCTCTGTCATCTCCCAGGCTTGGGGCGCGGGAGCAGATGGGAGGATGTTTATTTTGCAAGTCCCACCAGCTGGGTGCTTGGGGCAGCAGGGAGGGCGAAGGGGATGCAGTGGGGAGAGCAATGATGGCTGTGTTCAGAGAGGAGGAAACATCCCCCCGGGGAGGGAATTTAGCGGGAAGAAACCTTCTCTAAACCATCCTCCCTGCTGCAAGGGGAGGACGTCCCGGTGCTGCCAGCCCTGCCAGCTGGGAAAGGACAAGGATGCCATGGCGGGCTGGGAGGAGGAGTGGGTCTGGCCGAGGGATGGAGGGAGGGATGGACAGTGAGGAGGCGCAGAGGGGTGAGCTGTCTCGCTGGCTCCTCGCTCGAGGCCAGCAGAGCTGGGCTGCCATGGACACATCTGTCCCATCACCCCACGCTGAGGGGCACCCAGGGAAGGCATGTGCTGCAGGACCCAGTGCCCTACCACCAGCTCATCTGTGTTTGGGACAGGGAATCATGCCGGAGCCCGCACGCCGTTCCTGCTGCCAAATCCCCTCTCCAAGGAACATTTTCCACGTAAGAGGGATGGGGGATGTTTGCGGTGGTGCGGCCCCTCCACGCCAGCCTCCATCCCGCCTCGGAAACATCCCGGCGGCTGTGAAGGAGACAAAGAGGGCTTTCTGCAGGGCTGGAATTTTCTTTGTGTCCCCATCCCTCCCCTTCTCCCTGTGGCATGCCTTTTATCCAGCTCCCTGTTTCCAAGCACCGAGCTAAGGAAGAGGGCATTGCCCTCGGCTTTCCCAAGTCCCTTCTCAGCTTGGACCCCCTGCAGCACCCTTTGAAATCCCACCACGGCCCCGAGAGGTCACCGATGAATATGGAGTTGCAAATGCCTGCGTGGGGCAGAAGGCGCTTAAACGAAGTCATTCATAACGGCAGCGATGAGCTGCCCTGTCGGCATCCCGCCTGGGCCCGACGAGCACATTCACAGTACAAATTGCAGCGCCAGGCCGGTTTGGGGTGAGGCGTGCACGAAGGCACCGTGGGTGGGAGCAGCGTTCCCCGTGGATGAGCTCCAGCTGCTTCCGGCCTCTTCTCCCTCGTGCTGGATAATTTTGCTGTGCCGAGTGTGTAATTATCGCCTCTGTCATCTCCCAGGCTTGGGGCGCGGGAGCAGATGGGAGGATGTTTATTTTGCAAGTCCCACCAGCTGGGTGCTTGGGGCAGCAGGGAGGGCGAAGGGGATGCAGTGGGGAGAGCAATGATGGCTGTGTTCAGAGAGGAGGAAACATCCCCCCGGGGAGGGAATTTAGCGGGAAGAAACCTTCTCTAAACCATCCTCCCTGCTGCAAGGGGAGGACGTCCCGGTGCTGCCAGCCCTGCCAGCTGGGAAAGGACAAGGATGCCATGGCGGGCTGGGAGGAGGAGTGGGTCTGGCCGAGGGATGGAGGGAGGGATGGACAGTGAGGAGGCGCAGAGGGGTGAGCTGTCTCGCTGGCTCCTCGCTCGAGGCCAGCAGAGCTGGGCTGCCATGGACACATCTGTCCCATCACCCCACGCTGAGGGGCACCCAGGGAAGGCATGTGCTGCAGGACCCAGTGCCCTACCACCAGCTCATCTGTGTTTGGGACAGGGAATCATGCCGGAGCCCGCACGCCGTTCCTGCTGCCAAATCCCCTCTCCAAGGAACATTTTCCACGTAAGAGGGATGGGGGATGTTTGCGGTGGTGCGGCCCCTCCACGCCAGCCTCCATCCCGCCTCGGAAACATCCCGGCGGCTGTGAAGGAGACAAAGAGGGCTTTCTGCAGGGCTGGAATTTTCTTTGTGTCCCCATCCCTCCCCTTCTCCCTGTGGCATGCCTTTTATCCAACTCTCTGTTTCCAAGCACCGAGCTAAGGAAGAGGGCATTGCCCTCGGCTTTCCCAAGTCCCTTCTCAGCTTGGACCCCCTGCAGCACCCTTTGAAATCCCACCACGGCCCCGAGAGGTCACCGATGAATATGGAGTTGCAAATGCCTGCGTGGGGCAGAAGGCGCTTAAACGAAGTCATTCATAACGGCAGCGATGAGCTGCCCTGTCGGAGGGAGGACCGGGAGCCGGCTCGCTGGTTGGCAGCTGTTAACGGCGCACAGGGATTGTGCAGCCGCCGTTGCTTCTGCTGGCATCTGCTGCAGCGGCACGGAAGGGTTTCCACGCGTCTGACACGCTCATTGCGTGCAGCTCAGCAATGCATGTGTGCGTCAGTCCGGTGAAGGATGCTCGCTGTCCGCGAGTTAGCAGGACGCTGCGGCTCAGCGAGCTGCAGTTTGCTCAGGAGCATATCGAACACAAAAGAGACCCAGGGGACTCCCAACACGTGGAAGTCCAGGGCAGGGAGTGCTGTCGGGTGGGTTTCCCTTAGAAATGGGACATTGGTTGGGAAACTGCAGCCAGGTCAACTTCAGCATAGAGGGACATACCTCCTTACAAGCCCAGAAGAAATTTTCCAGGCCAAAGGATTGGTTTCCTTGCTGAGAAAAAGGAAAAAAGGGGATACAAAGCACCCACAGCTTCCACTCTCGGCAGGTGACTCTTGCTGCCATCCTCTGCGAAGCAGGACAAGCTCATGAACTCCCCTGCTTGCCTGCGGCTCCTATAACCCCCCTCTCGCCCATCGCTCCAGCCAGGCGAACCGGACTTCATAGTTGTCCCCAGCGAGCCTTGGTGGTCACCAGGTCACTGCTTTCTGCCGGTGACCTTGGTTTCTTGTATCTGAGCTTGCAATCCGCCTGGTCCCACCCCAGCTACATCCCTTGCTGACAGAGGTCCCGTGGGCGCAG